CGGGGGGCGGCAGCGGCTGGCGGCCGGGCTCCGGGCCTGGCTTGTGCTCTAAGCGCGACCTGGGCCTTGCTGGCCCGCCCTAGGGGGCCTCGCCGCTCCCGAGCCCTGCGCTGAAGCCGCCATAAACAGCCCCTTCCCCACGCAGTGACCCCCCTTTCCCCCCCGTTTATTATTATTTTTTTGTATGTATATGTATTTTTTTTTTTTACCTGGCGTGTCAAGGAGCCAGTCCCAGCTTGAGGGACTTGCAGGTTCAGGATAAGAGGAGCAACCCCCCCCCCCCGCTGGGGTTGCCTCAGCTGCGGCCCTGCCCGGTGGGGTGGGCCCGGGGGGGGGAGCGCTGCCCTGTGCCCGGCTCTGCAGGGGTTTTGCTATTGAAGAGCTATTTTGCTATTTATGAGCTTCGGAAAATCCCGTGGCTCGCTATCTGAGTTGTGCTCGGTGACCACGGTGCAGCTGCGTGGTGAGGCTGTGGGCTTGCGCTGGCAGCGGGGCTAGGGGACTTCCCAGGAGTTTGTTCTTCTACCTGTGGGGAGCACAGGCTGTGTTTATCTCCTCTGTCATCTCTCATCTAGAATAAAGTGTGAGGCAGTTGAATCCTAGGGACTCACTTTGGTCCTTGTAGCTTCTCAGAGTTTGGTTTTTCCCATTGTAAGAGATGCTGAATTTAATTGTTCTGTGCAACCTTAGAAAAAAACATTGTTCAGCTGGAAATGAATAACCAGGCTCAAAGATGGGGGTTTCCTAGGGAGACTGAAGAGGAGGTCTCTTCATCTTTTTTTCAGACAAGAAGGACAAGACGCATGAACTGTCTTCCTCGACAATTGCAGAAGAGCCTGAGCCCGTTTCATGCATTCTGCAAGGAGATGACATCCAGGCGCTTGCAATTAAGGTGGAAGACCTGCAGAAAGTACGTATTTTTACTGATAAAACCAGCTGCCTTACCTGAAACTCTCCTTTTATTTTGTGTATTTAACAGAGGATCCCGCCCATTTACTTAAACCAAAAGCCACTCAGTTCTCATTCCATTTATACTGCTTTTTATGACTTGTGGGATCATCAGGTTCAGTTGCGAACAGTGAAGGATTATCAATCCTTACGGAGTCTGTTCAGATGGAGAGATAAGGCGTCTGCCTTTTCAAAATTACATTTCCAACCTTCTAGCCTAATAAGATGTATAAGTTGTTCAGTAACTCTTACCACTTCCCTTCTAAAACTTGGGACAAACTGTGTGAGTGGCAGCATTTGCCACTGAGTGATACAGCAGAAAACTGTTGGGAAAGTGATTCAAAACTCTTCCCTGCCCCAGTTATGAAGCAGAATCTAGAAGAGTAAGACAGTAACTAAGGTGATGTCTCTGCAGTCATGTAACATGCCTCTCAGGGGAGGAACAGCCTGTACTGATACGACTCCCTTGCATTTCCTAGAAGGCTCAGAAGGAATGAGGGTGAGTCAGTATGTGCCAGAGTGCATTGTGACTATTTATTTTCTAAAGGTCCATGCTCCACACCTTCCTCATGATGTTGGGAATATTCCAGTTAGGCGGAAATACCTTGTTCGAAAATACCTACCCAAAGAGACAAAGAAGAAGGCATGTTTCCTTGTAGCATATCCTGCTTTCCCAAAGGCAGCCAAGGAACCACTGAGTTTTTCTGGTAGGGTTAAACTTCACATCTTTGACTTCTGGTTTTGCCAAGCCTGGCTTTATTGACCTGACTCTGGGATTGTTTGGGGGTTTTTTTTGTGTTGTAGGACCAGGACTGTTTGATGGCTCTGAAGAGATTCTCCCCCATCACATTTTGGGAAGTCTCCAGGAGTTCAAGATGGAAGCCTTGGCCAGAGGAAATACTCAGGTTGGTTTGTAAAGTTACAAAAATGCAGCTGTGTGGCACTTTTCTAGAGGTGGAGTGCAGTGCCTTTCGATGCTTTTCAACACCCATCAGGAACAGGTCAGGCCTGAGGTGTGGTTTTTCCCAGCCTCGTCATACTCTGCAGGGAGTGCTTGCCTTCAGAGAAACTGCACCAGCAGGTTTTGAAGTCCTGTGTGCAGGACGATGTCATGGAGGGAAGAATTAAAGAGGCTTCCTCTTCCATGTGTGCTTCTGCTGCTGGCATCAGGCTTGCAAGAGAAGAGCTGGTGTTGCAGCAATGCCGTTGCTCGAGTCCAATTACTCAGATCCTTCCATTGTTTCTGAGTGTGTTCCTCCTAATGCCCTATTTTTGTTCCTTTCAGAGGGATCAGGTAAAAGTACTGTCAGTCTGAAGAATGAATTCTTTTCTTCTCCCCTCTCCCATTCTCATTATGGTGGCTGTGTGTGCATGGAAAGGTTAATTTAACATTTCCTTTCTCTTCAGATAGCAGATTTTATTGAGGTTTCTCATCAAGGTGTTACTGCAGCACCTTTAAAAGAGGAACGTGGAGGAGAGAAGAATAAAAAGGTTCGTCAGACCTCACTAGCAGAGCACAAAGCTCTCCAGAACTGGCACCATAATATGGCAATCAGGAAAAAGCAGGAGAAATATCTAGGAGGTGAGAAAAGCTGAGGCCTCATTCTGTGAAATTCTGTGGGGGAATTTGATGGCACCACAACAAACTCTTAATGGTCATAGCTGACTGAGGTTAATCCTGTTGCCGTTGCATGCTCTCAGAGCTCCCCACACTGCTAGTGCTGGTGACTGTGGGTGTTGTGGGGAGGTGAGCTGGTGGGTCTGGCTGGGGGAAGGACAGCAGATTTGTTGGGGACAGTGTAAAGGGGTTACACGTGAACAATAGGTAAAGGGTGTGCCCAGAAGTGCAGCACCAATGATTTGATGTTCCTTCTTTATAGAAATTCTTCAGAGGCCAGAGAACGAATTGCTAATGAGCATCTCGGAGGATTACAGGCAGATCCAGGAAGAACGTGACCTCATTGACCGGAGCCTCCCTGCCCTGCTTCCTGGAAATGTGAGAGCCCCACTTCCTCTGCATCCTGATTGCTCTGTTCTTGTGAAAGAGCTAAGACACTGGTGCTATGAGTAACATGTGTCGTCAGATATTTATCAAAGCCTTTACCAAAGGACACTTAAGTCCTGCAGCCTAGTGTGGAAGCAGAGCTTTCCATGATTTTAAAAATAAAAACAGGAACTGTGCTATCCGTACCGGTCAGCGGAAAGTGATGGTGTGCTTTGGCTCCTTGCTAACGAGCTGCTGTACGTGGGAATTGCCATTTCTTGATTATCACCAAAGACTGTCACGCACTGGGAAGTGGCACAGGGGCGTGCTGCAATTGCTGTTCCAGGGTCAGAAAGATCTGGTAGCTTCAGGCTTGAATTTTAATGATTGCCATGGAGAAAGGGGTATGGGTAAATCAGGAGGATTATAGGAATATCCTATATTAAAATTTTTTTACATTTATAGCACTATCAAAGATTTGCATTTGTGTGAGGCATTATTTTAATATCATTCAACCTTCATGTAGCACTAGATAGAAGAAAGTTCTTCTTTTGTCTTTGACAGCAGCCTAATAGAAATTTTGGCTTGCTCTGTAGAAAGTGATAATTTACAGAGTTCTAAAACATTCGTATAAGCAGAGTTAGACCCCTTCTTTTTAGCTTCTAGTTGCTGTGAAAATAACAGGCAGCCGTACACCTCTGAAAGCATCAGCGTAAGCCTTGTTTTTCGCCCTAGGGCTACCGAAGAGGAAGCGAGTTCTGGAGTCAGCCCGAGCGTATTGGAGATGAACTCACTGGCCTGACGATGACACTGACTCAGAGAGAACGTGGCTACCCAGAGCCAGTCACTCATGTGGGGAAACCCCACACTGTCCGGATGGAAACGGGTAAGGGAACGTTGCAGAGGGGTGATCCCACAGAAATGGGGTATAAGTGTGGAGGGAGCAGCAGAAGGAAATAGTGACTCCTGCGAGTATGGAGGTTCACATTATAGTTGTCCTTTCTGACAATTGCAGCACAAGCTACTTCCCAGTCAGCTGTTGGACCTCCTCTTTAAAGCACTGAGAAACCAAAGTTTGGCAGAGAGTTAAAATTAATAGGCATGTGGGTATGTAGGCAGTGAGCTCTTGTATGGGTATTTCCACAGGTCTGAAGCCTCCAAAGAGGATCCCTTTCCATCTAACCTGGGATAAGAGTCTTTTCCTGAAACATCGACGTCAGGAGCTAAAATCTGTCCTAGAGGAGCTAGGTTTTTATAAGCCGGTAAGATTAGAGGAGTGAGGTCATTCTTTGCATCTCTCATCTGTCGAATGCTGTAGAGTAACATAAAATTGCCAAGAACTGGATCTGAAAAAGCATCAGGAATCTAAAACTTAACTCCCCAGTACTTCCTTGGAAGTTCCCACATTTCCAAAGGGCCACACCCATGAAAGAGTTGTCTGGCCTCCCTCAGTGTTGCATGGAGTGGCATAGGAGCCTCAGAGTAGGACCCTGAACCAGCAGCATGCAGCTGCCAAGACCTAGGTAATAAAAAAAGCTGCCAAATACTGGTGTGGGACTTTGATTTAATGCCTCAGGGTAGAGGGAAGACACCTTTACCCATGTGGAAGACGTGCATCTGAAATAATCTCCTGAAGGCAGGTAGCCCCTCCTCTTAAAAACCAGAACAAACCTCACCTTTTTCTGTCTGAAACCTGGCTCTGGGGATGAGAAACATGTGAAGAAGACTTTTCCCATCCATGCGTCATTTGTAGTGGAGAATGCAGTCAATTCTTGGGAGACCCAGAGTTAGTTCCTTCCTTTGTCTCTTAAACATTCATGGGATACCTCTAAAAACCATCGTAGGAGCAAGATAGCTCAGTTTTGCTTGACTCTGTTGGTACATTTGTCTGGTATTTTAACTTCCTTCCTATATAAAAAGAGAAATTGTGAGTTGGTCATTTTTCTGTATGTCCAGGATCTTGATGGATTGGAGGTGATTGGCAAGGGGCAGCCTTTCACGTCTGTCTCAGCAGAGCCTTTTCCACATTCCACCACTTCTGAAGAGTCTGAAACCCTGTAAGTTTTACTTCGTGGCAGAAATAAAGAATTTTGGGTATGTACTGTCAGCCTGTAAGGGTATCCTTGGCTGTCCTTACCGAGAAGGCAGAGGAGTCTCCACTGGGGCACAATAAAAGGCATAGTCTAATATTAAAGTCACCAGATTTAGGAATCAAGCAGTTCCCTTGTGCCATGGGGCCTTGTGCCTAAGGCGCAAAAATCAGAGAAAAAGTTTTTTTGAGGCCCACCCTTCCAGTCTTTGCTCTGTGTGACTCCAGAGCTTACATTAGGCAGGGTAAGGATTCTGCTCTAAATTACGTCCATCTGGCTGTCTTTTTTCCAGCCTTCCACTTCCATCATCAATTTGCCTTTTCCCCATCCTGGCCATCTGTAATGGACACAACCCAAGGGCCTCTTCTCCTTATTCAGTCATGTACCCTCCGCCTTCCTCAGGCAGGTATCATTCTTTAATGTTCTGGCTGTCCTGTCCTCCCTGATGGTGACAAGTCACTAGCTGGAGTATTTACCACATCTGCAGGGCTCTGTCCCTAAAGACATGACTCTGTGGCAAAGCGTTAGTTGGGATTATTTCTTATAGGGTCTTATAAATCACTCCTGGTTCTCCCCTCTCTGAAAGTGAATTTCACTCCATGAAAGCGCTGGTTCATGTTTTCTTTAGCAGTGACTCCTTAAGGGATTACACTGATGTGGTTCCAGAAGCAGTACCGGGTCCATCTTTAGATTTCTGTGGTCAGCCTGCTCGTTGGATCAACTGCACTGCTTCTTGCAGGGTAATTGTGCGCTTTTTATTGTTTAGTTAAGCTAAACCCGCTTGAGTTCCCAAGTCACAGCCGTACAATGAGTGTCACTCCCAGGCCAGAGAATGGGGGATTTATTCTGAGCATAATAGAGTATCCCTACATTTGCTCTGGAGGCTCAACCCCTTATTCGTGGTATGACTTCAGGCAAGATAAATCCTGCCAGATAGAGTAGAAATAGTTATTTATGTCTTTTTCCTCTTCCTTGTAGGATGAAATTGGCATTGCTGCCCGGCTCACCTTTGAGACTTTGGCTGGTGAGAAAGCTGAGAGCTCCCTGACAGTGAGCAATGATGGCACAGCTGCCATCTGGTACAACTGGATGAGGCTCCCCCAGCAGATTCCCTCCAGAGAAACCAAGGGGAAGAGGATGCAGTGTTTTTACTTTGATACCAGACCAGGTATGAGAGCTGCTGATCCCTGAGACATTTGTGCATAGACCAGAGAGCACGTGTTCAGGAGTTACCTGAGATGCTGAGTCTGTCTAATGGCAGAGCGAGCCTATTGGGTGATTCTCCTTAGGAAGCCACCCTGGGCGTCAGAGCTGACTCACAAGAAAAGAGGTGTGCGAGGCAGATCCTTTTCATGGGACTTAAAGGAAAGGAGGTTGCTCCTATTCTGAATGTAAATGGCTGGAATATTGAGAAGTGAATCATTTTCTGATGGCAAACTGGGCATAATCTCCAGAGAGAGGGCTGAGCTTGCTGTAAAAGGAGCGTGCAGTGGAAATAACACCAGTTCAGTAACATGGTGACTGGGACTAAATCTGGAAGGAGAAAAATAGCTGGATGAAGTGTAATAACCAGCTGAGCTATGGGGAAAGAGTCTTGTACAGAGATAAGGACACTCAGGGTGGGTTTGGAAAAGGGTCAGGTTAACCAGGTGGTTTCTTGCAGGCTGATGCATTTTCTCTCTTATTTCAGGTGCAATTTTGCCTGGAGAAACTAGGAAGTTTTTCTTTCTTTTCAAGTCAGAGAGAGCAGGCATTTTCAGCGAGTCCTGGGAATTTGGGACGCATCCGCTGTTATTAGGAGGAGCTCTGCTGCAGGTGACCCTTTGGGGAATTGCTGTGTATGAGGATAAATTGGCTGACCTCAGAGAGAAACTGGAGGTAACCAAGCATGTAACTGGGTAACTGTGAGCTTTGAACTTAATATGCAAATAGAGGGTAAGGGTGGGAGTGGATGACATGGTATTTTTATTGCTATGCAATTAGGGCTGAGAGCGAGATGATTATTTATTTATAGAACGTCTGTACATACTTGAGCAGGTTTGCTAAATAAAATGGAAGAGCTCTGCAGTCTATTGTAATGTTGTTAATAAAGACGTGATTGTGTCTCCTAAACTGTTCGCGCTGGTCCTTTACAGAATGAATTTTCTGTTGGCAATTAATTTTATTAATTAGTGGGGATGGGGTTATGTGTCGTACAGTATGACATCAGTTAAGGTCTAAATTGAAAATTACACTACGCTTTGAAAAGTATAGTTTGGGGGAGGATTTGTGGGGTTTATTTGAAAAACTGTTGAAAATATTGCTCTGCTTAGTGGCGTTTGCAGTTATTCTTGCCCTTGTAACCCTGTATAACATATACACGTAGTTACTAACGTGGGTGTGAATTTGTGTGTCCGTATATGGAACGGGGACTCACATGTGTTGTTCTTGTTGTGGTGCCTCAGAGTGACCTGGCTGCTCGAGAAGGTGCTACTATAGTAGAAGAGAGTCTGAAGGAACTTCTTGCCCGAATTCGGACCCCAGAGCACGCCCCATCTCCTGTGGATGCCTGTGTCACAGAGGAAGAGTTGTTCCACCAGAAGAATCCCGAGGTGACGTTTGCCATTCGATGGGCTACACACCTGAAATAGTAGGGAGGGAAGACCCGTGGGGCTGGTGCATCCCTGGGTTTCTGGAGGCTGGCATAGTCTGCCATGGTGGCTTTAACAATTAGGCTTGTACAGGAAAGGCATAGCTCATTTCACTATTTGCCTTTTCCCTGTTATCACAGTTGCGTTATCAGCATCAAGTAGTAAAGCAGTTGCATGAATTGTGGAGACAGCACATGACTGTTCCTTCAGCCTTCGAGGAGAAAGTGCCCTTGGGCCAGAAGAGCACTGCGGAGGACATGCAGTACCAGGAGAGTACCTCAGAGGCTCTCCCTGCTCGGAGCAGCACCACAGAGGTCCCAGGTTGGAAGAACACATTAGAGGAGGCTCTGATTCAAATGACGAACGTGGAGGAGGAAGAACCAGGCCCCTCAGGATGGAACCTTTCCTTCGAGGACTTTAAGCAGGTGGTCACCCCTCTT